TTAACATAACTTTTATCTTTTTTCAATTGAAAATAGTTACATTTATATTACATGGTTATATATATATATTGCATAGGTGACATATTAGAGAGCATCTTCTCATAATGTGCAAATTGGATGGTTTGTGATGTTATAAGATATTTAATCAAATGTTATCTTTTTTGTTAATTTTTGTTATGACTGTACCGCATATTTATGAATAGACGCACCTTTATAATTAAATTTAATATTTGATATTTTTAGATGTCATATATTTAAATAGAAGAAAATTATTTTGAACATAATATATTAAGATAATTTTATTAGAAAAAAATTTTGGCCCCCCCAAAAAAAAATTCCTGGCTCCGTCACTGCGCACAAGGCCACAACAAGAATAATGAATCATGCATACGGGGAAACAATTGACCATATTTTTTGTATGGGTGCTGCTGCTAGACAGGTCTGGAGTTTCTTTGAAGTGTCGATTGGCGGGTTTGGTGAAGCTTTTACGATAAGGCATAAGGTGGTTAGCTGGTGGCTAAAACCTGGTAGAGGCCCCTATATTAGGTTATTATTTCGACTTCTGCCCTCTCTGATTTGTTGGAACTTATGGATAGCGAGAAATAAGTTTGTGTTTGAAGGGAAGCTGTTCACTGTGAAGCAAGTTTGTGATCGAGTTTTTCTTGAGTTTCGAGAAAGCTTTGACGCTCAATTCCGGGAAATTAGTATTCCTTGTTCATCGTGGCCTAGTTTCTTTGATGCAGTGGCTGGGTTGAGAAGTGTGGTGAATGTGGTGCAGGTTAGGTGAAAATGTCCGGAGCAAGCACGCGTGAAGTTAAACTCAGATGGATGCTCAAGAGGCAACCCAGGGAGGAGTGGAGAGGGAGGTCTGCTCAGGGATAGTGATGGGAGGGTCCTGTTCGCATTCTCCTGTTACTTCGGGGAGATGACTAGTTTACAAGTGGAAATCAAAGCGCTACTCCACGGGGTGCGGTTGGGAATAGCTCGAGGGCTGTCCAATTTTCATTTGGAGTCTGACTCGTTGGTCCTTATCCAGATTATTTAGGGGAGAGCTAAGTGTCCGTGGGTGGTGCAGCGGGAGTTACAAGAATTGGTGCAGTACAGTCACCTTTACATCGAGATGTCACATTGTTTTCGAGAAGCGAATAAACCTACGGATAGACTTACTAAGCTCGGGCTAATGCTGGGGAGTCAGTAGTTTATGATTCCATCCTTAACCTTCCCCGCATGATTAGAGGAGATATTACTTTAGATAGGTGGGATTGTCCTAGTTTCCGTAGGGGTAGATATTGAGGGTAACTTTGTGTAATCGGTCTCGCAGGCTGGGGGTGGTGTTTCCCTCTATGTACTTTGGATCTCTCTTAATATTAATAAAACTCAATTTCCAAAAAAAAAAAAAAGAATCATGCATACGGGAAATTCCCCTAGTTTTTTTTAATCTTTTTTTGTAGCGATATTTTTTTTTTTGTTAAACTCCTACCTCCAAATCGAATCATGCATATGGGCTGATTCATGCAAGTCTGGAAGAAACTATTTATCTTTATATTGCAGAAAAAGTTTGATCAAAAGCTGCTTGCAAGCCAAGTGTCTGACTCTTACACACTGGATTTGACTCAAACTTCCCAAAAAAATCAGTGCATCCAGATTGGAAAGAAGACAATGGTTGAATTGAAAATCGTATGAAAGCAAATCTCTCCTTTTTATGCATTCAGATTTAGTCTCTCTCTCCTTTCATTTACATATAAAACAATAGAAAAAACTTGGTTAGACCAAGGATTTACATAATTTGTGAATTAACTGTACTTAATTAAACTGCCTATCTAAAAATATTTTTGTACTAGCAAATCTAAATGCTTGAAAACTGAATTATATTTTACTTTATTTTTTAAACAAAATGTAATATGAGCTGTTTGTTTTACTAAGGGTTTCCAGTGTGTTTAGATAGTCATTTTTTGGTTTCAAATTATTTATTTGTATTATAAACACAATTTTTAATATATTTTTTTATTTTTCAATCATTTTTTTATCTTACATGCATCACATTATAAAAAGTGATACAATAATTATTTCGAATAATCTCCTATTCAAATAATGGTTCCGTAAGAGAGTTGAGCACCAAGAATGCATCAAATGGGCACACCACACAATCTCATGCAGCCAAGTACGGTTTACGGTTGTTGCCCCGTCACCAACTCTTGTGCGTTATAAGAGAGCACTTAGTGTTTTTATTTTGCAGAAAAGGGTGAAATATTGACAGCTTTGCTACAATCATTGATTCATAGTAGATATATTCATGTTCTCCCACATACATTTTATGTATGTAACTTGTCTTCTCTAGCTTGAATTATGTAAATTATCGAGCCATTAAATCCTTGGATGTGGTTTTACTTTAAATTACCATATATAAAGTAAAATGGGTATATAAAAGGGAAAATGACCTATTTCATCCCTTACATTTCACAAAAATATTCTTTTCGTCCCTCACTTTTAAAATGAAGCAATTTCGTCCCTGACATTTAAAAATTAAAGCTATTACATCCTTGAACCCAATTTTCAATCTGAATCAAACCACCTATCAACCTGATTACAAATTTTGGAGGTATAATTGGTAGATCATTTGGTTAACTCAACTTGAATATAACTCAACTTGAATTCCTACATTGTCATTGTATACACTGATAGTTTTATGTACCTACCATGTCGTTTCAGTTTAAATTTAAACACCAAATTTTGTATTTATGATACACATTTAGACTCGCAAGCGAATATACTAACGGTGCATGAAAAGATTTACCCAAAAGAAAAACCCGACTATTCCAAAACAAATAATGGCCTTTATGTTATAATATTTATTTTTTTGATTTGATAAATGTCATGTGAATATGATGAAATTGACCGAGTGACCTATCAATTCTATCTCCGAAATTTATTATTGGATTATTGGATGGTTTGATTCAGATTGAAAATTAGGTTCAGGGATGTAATAGCTTTAATTTTTAAATGTCAGGGATGAAATTGCTTCATTTTAAAAGTGAGGGACGAAAAGAATATTTTTATGAAATGTGAGGGATGAAACATGTCATTTTCCCTATATAAAATGTGCGTGGTAGAAGAGTAAAATAAGGGTATATGTGGTTTTGGCGATAGGCTGAACCAATATCGTATCAATGGATGAATTTTAGAATACTTTTTTCTGCTTTGCAATTTATGTTTAGCTAAATAAGGGCTAAGAGAAGATATTATGAACTGAGTCGATTCTTACTCCTTCTATCTAAATCCAAACTCTCCCTCCTCTCTATCTTTTTTCTTCCCTTGAAAACAAATTGTCTTATTTTCTGGGAGAGAGACCAATTGGTCTCCCTTGATCTCCCTCCCTCTAACGTCTTTATGTTTTTTCCTCTTCTATTTTGTATTTGTAATTAAGTCTCTTTTAAGGTTTCCTAATGAGAATTTCTTCTTTCCTAAAAATTCCTACTAATAGTATTCTGTTCTCTTAAAGATTCATAATGAGAGTTTTTTTTTTTCTCTTCTAAGGATTTCTAATGAGCATTTTGCTAGTTTTTGTATTTCTTTTATTGATCTAAATTTTCTCACATTTGATTATTAGATTGAGATCTATCTCGTCAGATCTCATATCAACATCCAAGCTTAAACTAGTTCATTAGCAGATCTAAGATAAAGCAAGAGGTGCGGTTTGAAGTATAGATAGATGATCATGGGATTATAAACGTTTTCTTATAAATATTTTTTGAATTTCATTGTATAACATTCTCTTGACTTTTTGGATCTGCCGTATCTAGTTTTGTTCTTCAAATCTATTTGTATTTGTGTATGGTTAATGTAACTTCTGCTATTAGTCCAAATTTAATGAATGATAATTTTTTATCAGAAAATGTTTTAGCTTAATAAAAGAGATTGGCATTACTGAGCATAATAAATGATTCACAAGTAATCAAAATTAACGAGCACAACATACTTTAATGGGTTTGGGCCAGGAGTTAAATTTTTTTTTCAAAAGTGGGGTTAATTTGAGAAAGATCTAAATACAAGAGATGTAATAATTATGAATGTTTGCATTGACATGATAATTTAGATGTAATTTAGGTTCACTAATGAGTGCATCGGGGTACTTGTTATAAAATTCCTAGTTTAATTAGTGTGATAAACAACATGAGACATTACTATGCATTGATTTTTTCCCATCTCCTTTTGTCCAAGACATGAAATAATACACGTATAGCATCGCATCTTGTCATAATTAGAATTTATGATGGCAAAGTAGAATTTATAATTGAAAAATTCTGGGTATTTAGCAAAACCCTCAACATTCTTACAACCAACAATTATAACACATCCTGCAACCTCACAACTAAAACTCAACCGAAAAGTCAACAAATATTCTTTCATCAATTTATCAATGAAAACAAAATTTAACGTATATCTTGTACCATAAACACAGATGTACCAAATATACACATGATTTTAACATAATTAAACGTATTTCTGATGTTTACAATTGAAACTCAGCAGGCAAGTTCGAATTTCCAAACATTCCTGCTCGTCACATTCAAATACATGGACCAATCCTACGCACATGATGATGTACTATACCAATCCGATTTTGAATAATGCCACTAGAATATCTAATAAAATCCCCAAATAGATAATCCATAATTATCTTCAACAGCCAACTCAATCATGGGATTGACACCTTTCCATGCATCCTACATCTCCGTCCCTCTTCGAGATCCAAGTCACGTAAATTTTCCTATAAATACAGAAGAGAATGCTCCAGCTTTCTCATCCTTCTCATTGTTCTCAATACCAAATCTTGAGTGCATAAACCAAGGCCTTGTTTGGATAGCAAAAGAAAAATTGCTACATTTTCTGTTAATACATTTTCCAATCACCTTTTACTTCACATACATCAAATCGTTACAGTAATTTTTCTACAAAAAATTAAAAAATGTGCAATCCATAGTTGTGTGAGAAAAAGAAAAATGGGTTCCAAGGCAATTCTTTTCCTATGCCTTTCGGCAGTAGTTCTGATGGTTATGTCAGAGGTAACAGCTAGGGACTTGGTTGAAAGTAAGATATTTATTCAACCATTATCATTTTTTTCCTTTCTTAATCCTTGCATATTTTTTGCAAACTATCGACTTATTTGCATAACATTTAGTAATACAAATTTTTTGTTTTCTTCCTGGTTAGATTTTGCTAGAGGGCACTAATTTACTAACTTTGGGGTTATCAATTTCATATAGTAATACAATTTTTTTATTTTCTTCCTGGTTAGATTTTGCCAGAGGGCACTAATTTACTAACTTCTGCATGACTTTGGGGTTATCAATTTGCCAGCCAATGCAACAGAGGAGACTAATGGGCCGGAAGAATCCAACTACCTTGGTGGTGGATAGCTTGGTTGTGGCTACCCAGTTGGTGGTCACGGAAGACGTGGTGGCGGAGGGCATCATGGTGGCGGTGGAAACTGTCGCTATGGTTGCTGTGGCAGCAACTGCAGCAGGTGCTGCTCATATGCTGGTGAGGCGGTGCATGCTGAGCCAGAAACCAAGCCGCAAAACTAATAACCAGCTCTTATGAAGCGCGATGCCTGAATGCATTCTGTGCATAATGGCGAAATGTTTTAATGTACTTGGTGCAATATGAATAAAAGCCTAATCTGTGGCATCTATTCACAATTAGGTGGATTGGTGAAAATGATTATCAAAGATCATAATGTATAATCAGCTAAAATAATCAATCAGAAATAAATCCATATTCAAAAGTTTAGATAAATGACATTGGCACTCTGAAAAAAAAAAAAAGGTTCTAGACACTCCAGCCTTCTTTTTGGCTTAATAAAACAACATTATGACTTATAAAGTATTCTAAGAGATTAAATTGCCCCTCTATGCATTACTGGTTACTTTCCCTATGTTATCTTTTCAATTTTAGCAAGTTTCACTACTCTTGTATATTATTGTACTATTAATAATGGGGCAAATTTTTTAAAATTATTATTCTGAAAATGGCTTGTGAGTATAATATATTTAGTAATTCTTAAGTAAAGTTTCACTTTTTGTGATTTGGAATTATGCATTGCTTTTGGATTTGTTTATTATTTTTTGGTGAAGCTTTACAACTTTAACAATTTATGTGCATGTGTGTGTATGTAATGAGAGTTGGAAAGAAAAGAGAAGAGAGAAAAAGACTTGAGAAGGAAGAAACTGAGATTTTATTCAAAATGCCAAAAGTGTCTTTCTCCTCCGGATCCTCAAGCTTATATACAGCTCAGATAATATCTAGCTGCATGCAAATGATGTCTTGGCTGCATGCTGACTCGGCAATAACAGACTAACAAACTAACTACAAGAATATTCCCTCTAACTAACTCAACGAACTACATGGATTGTGTATGGCTGCATGGACTGCATTTCAGTCTTTTCTAATGGTTGAGCTAATGGCTGAGCTAGTCATTACATTACCCCCCCCCTAACCAAATCCTAGTCTCTAGGATTGAAGGGGAAAATCTGGAAACTGAGACCTGATGACCGCTACATCTTCCCAAGTAGCATCATCCTGGTTTAGGTTTTCCCATAAGATCAACACCTGCTCTATAGCCTGCCCTCCCCTCCTTTTAGTCCTCCTCTCCAGCACAGCTTGGGGTGCTACTCGTACCTCTCCTTGTTCATTCAGTGAGGGTAGAGAATACTGGACTGGTTCCCCCTTAGTAAAGGGCTTCAGCTGAGAGACATGGAACATAGGATGGATGGCTGAACCTGTTGGCAGCTCTAGTTTGTAGGCCACTGGTCCTACCTTTTGTAGCACCTTGAGGGTCCATAATACTTAGCAGATAGCTTCAGGTTCCTCCTCAGGGCCACATTAGTCTGCCTATATGGTTGTAACTTGAGATAGACTAGGTCTCCCACTGCAAAGCTCCTGTCAGACCTGAGTCTATCAGCCTTCTATTTCATCCGATTCTGTGCCTTCAACAAATTATCCCTGAGCATCAAATTCCAGTTTACTCTTTCTGACATCCAATCATCTACTGCTGCTACCATCGATGCTCTTGGGGTGATGTTGAGTTGTGTAGGAGTATAGCCATACAGAGCTTGAAATGGAGACATCTTCAATGCAGTGTGGAAGTTGGTGTTGTACCACCACTCTGTTGCTACTAGTAGTCTTTTTCATTTGCGAGGTTGTTCAGAGCACATGCACCTTAAGTATGTCTCTACACACCTCTTCACTCTTTATGTCTGACAATCAGATTGGGGGTGATAGGCAGTAGAGAAATTTATCTAAGTCCCTAGCCTTAAGAATAGCTCCTGCCAAAATATGCTAGCTAGTGAATGTCCTGTCTCTATCTGACACAATGCTGAAGGGTAAGCCATGCAGTCTGAATATCTGATCAAAGAACACTTGCGCTACACTCTTAGCAGTATAGTGGCTTGTTAAAGGGATGAAATGTGCAAATTTTGTGAACCTATCGACCACTACAAATAGTGTATCACACCCCTCAGATTTAGGGAGCCCTTCAATGAAATCCATGGATATGTGTTGCCAAGCTTGTTCTGGTACGGGTAGGGGCTATAACAGCCCAGGGGGCTTACAATTCTCTCCCTTTTTCCTCTTACATATGTCACAGCTCTGTACAAAGTCTTCTACCTCCCTTTTCATGCCTGGCCAGAAGAAATATGCCTTAGCTCTCTTGTAGGTACCCAGGTTTCCTGAGTGTCCTCCAACTGCTGACATGTGCATGCAGGCAATGAGTTGTTGCCTGAGTGAAATAGAGTCCCCTACATATATTCTCCCCTTGTACCTGATGACCCCACCATTGTAGGAATATTCTAGCCTTTCTGTGTCATTGATGGCTAATGCAGTGAGCAACTCCTTAGCTTTAGGATCCAGCTCATATCTTTCAGCTAAGTTATTGATCCATGCTGGCTTTACCATGGATATGGCACTGAGTTCGTGAGGGTCCTCCCCCTTCCTGGAGAGTGCATCTACCACTACATTCTCCCTTCCCATCTTGAACTGAGTCTCATAATCATATCCCATCAGTTTAGTCAACCATTTCTGTTGTAGTGGAGTCCAGATCTTCTGCTCCAGCAAGTATTTTAGACTGTGATGATCAGTCCTAATGATGAAGTGAGACCCCAGTACGTAATGCCTCCACTTGTTAACAGCAGCAATCAAGGCTAGTAACTCCTTTTCATAGATAGATAAAGCCTGATTTCTTGCACCTAATGTCTGACTCATATAAGCAATAGGTTGTCCTTGCTGCATAATGACAGCTCCAATAGCTTGATTGCTGGCGTCTGTCTCCAACACAAAAGGCTTTGAGAAGTCTGGCAATGTTAGCACATGGGTGTTACTGATAGCCTATTTGAGTTCATGAAATGCAGCACTGGCTTCCTTGTTCCAGACAAAACCATCCTTCTTTAAGAGATCAGTGAGGGGCTTGGCTATGGATCCATAGTTCTTGACAAACCTCTTGTAATATCCAGTCAAGCCCAAGAACCCCCTTAAGGCCTTGACATCAGTCGGTTCTAGCCAGTTCACCATGCATTCTACCTTGGAAGGATCGGCACTCACTCCTTCACCAGTAACAACATGCCCCAAATATTCTATTTGATTTTGTCCAAAAGAGCATTTAGTGAGCTTGGTAAAAAAGGTATGAGATCTTAAGGTCTCCAAAACCTGTCTAAGGTGGAGGATATGAGAGTTCATGTCTAGACTATATACAAGAATATCATCAAAAAAGACCAAGACAAATTTTCTGAGGAAAGGTTCAAGCACTGAGTTCATGAGGGCTTGGAATGTAGCTGGAGCATTGGTAAGCCCAAATGGCATAACTAGAAATTCATAGAGCCCACAGTGAGTTTTGAAAGCCGTCTTAGGAATGTCCAAGGGGTTCATGCAGATCTGGTGGTAACCAGATCTCAGATCAATCTTGAAGAAGACTTTAGCTCCATGAAGTTCATCTATAATGGGAATTGGAAATTTGTGGCTAGGGAGTTAAGTTGCCTGTAGTCTATGAAAAATCTCCAGCTACTATCTTTCTTTTTGACCAGAAGGACAGGTGAAGCGAAGAGGCTATGACTAGGTTGGATGATGCCACTGTGCAGCATCTCATTGACTTGTTTTTCTATCTCAGTTTTCTGGACATGGGGGTATCTATAAGGAGCTAATTTGAATGGTTTTGCATCAGCTTTCAAGGGGATTTGATGGTCAAATGATCTCTTTGGGGGTAATTGTTTAGGCTCACTAAACACATCCTAGAACTCAATCAACAAAGATTCTAGAATATTTGGAGTGGTGTTTACCTGTGACTGAGCTGTACTGACCGTGTAGGCCTACACAGCTTGCTTGAGTTTCTTCCTCATGTATCTTTTGGCCACCTCTCCCTTAGTCATCCTGGTGTTTGCAGTACCTTCATCTCCTCGCAGCGTCGCCATGTCACCATCCTTACTGAAAGAGACCTGTAGTTGTTTAAAATCGAATGTTAGGGGGCTGTAGGCTTTCATCCAGTCCACCCCTATGATCAGATCATAGGGCTCCAACTCTAACAAGTACACACTGTGGCAAAATTTCTGTCCTTGCATGCTCCATTGGAAATTGGGTATCCACTAACTGCAACAAAGTTCCTGACCATCAGCAATTCTGATCGTGAAAGGTTTGTGTTGCCTGATAAGTTCCTGCTACCTTTATGCAATAGACTTCCTAAGGAAACAATTAGAACTACCTCCATCTAACAGAATAGAAATTTCAGAATCTCTAACCTTCCCTAACAACTTGATGGTGCTAGAGAGCAGATTCCCTGTGAGTGAATATAAGGATAATTCAATCTCCTGTTTGTTCCCACTACCCATGTACTCTATCACCTCTTCCTCATCTATCCTGTCCTCTAGATCAGTAGCAATAATCATGTGTACCCCCTTGTCCTTACACATATGACCTGGTCCAAACTTTGCTCCACATTTAAAGCACAAATGGTTGTCCTTCCTGTATTGAAACTCAGTGGGGGTGATTCTTTTATATGGTTGAGAAACGTTACCTTGCTTCGTAGAATCTCCCTCGCTAACTGTTGCTACCTTGGCCACAGGTGGTCTGTGCGTAGACATTCCTTCACTGGAACTAATCTATGAAGGAGGATAGAACCTGTTAGATGCCTTGCTCTTCTTGAGAATCACCTCCAGTGCCTTTTCCTGCCATCTTGCAACCTCGAAGGCTTCTTGTGGGTCTGAGGTTTGTGCATTTTGACTAGTGCCTTGAGCTCCTCCTGCAATCCACTCAAATAACTGGAAACAAAATAACTCTCACTCAACCCCCGATTCTTGAGCAATTCTATGGCTCTCAACTCCTCAAAACTTCTCCTGATAAGCCATTACTGTGAAGGATTGCTGCAGTTTGTTGAATTCCTCGACTCCATCCTCATCCCCCAGGTCCCCAAATCTACGACTCACTCCCTCCTTGAACTCTTCCCATCCAAATATCCTCTTATCCTTTTTGAAACTTTGAAACCAGACATTTGCCCTCCCTTCCAAGTGCATTTTTGCAATTAGCATCTTCTGCGAATCCAATA